GAAAGGTGGGGGGAGAGGGGACGCAGAGAAGGGAGGGAGGGGGAGGGAGGGAGGGAAGAGGGGTAGGGTAAAAAATTAGGGTTAGAATGTTTATATATTACCTGATTTTTGAAAAATAAAGTTTGGTCCCTGATTTTTGAATTGGTGTAAATTTTACACCTGATTTTTGTAATTATGCCTAGATAAAACCTGAATTGTGAACTTTTCCCTTCTTAAGATTAAGATTATGATCAAGATAAGCTCAAGATATTTGGGCTTGAAATGGTCGATAATGTAGGCCCAAGCCCATTCCAGCCCACTTATCTTATCGGAGCACGGAACCTAGTTTCTTCTTCACACCATCATTTCTAAATTGAAACCTTTAAAATACCCAGAAAATTTAAAGAAAATAGTTGTATTAATGGGAGACCTGAAGCGGAAAAGAGGACGAAAGCCTAAAAATGCGGTGGCGGAAGCTAGCCCCGCCGCATCAGCCTCCACTTCCACCGCTTTGGATGACGGCACAGTAGTCACGGTACCTACTGAAGCTACCAAACAGGACTCCCAGACCCATCGCCGTGGCCGCGGACGCCCTAAGAAGGGCGGCAATGTCCCCGAAGATGACAGAAGTGACATCCCCGCATCGCCGAAAAGGCGAGCTCCTAGGTTACACGACCACAACGTCGCTGGAGACATAATCGCACATAACGGACACGTGATAGTTGAGGGTATGGCAGCGCCTCCGCAGGTCAGGTGGGAGGGCGTGGCAGCAGCGGCGAAAGCAGCTTCGTCGATGGATGCGGTAGTGAAGGTGTTCTGTGTCCATACGGAACCGAATTTCTCGCTTCCATGGCAGCGGAAGCGGCAGTACAGCTCCAGCAGCAGTGGGTTCATCATAGGTGGGAGGAGAATTCTAACCAATGCGCACTCCGTGGAGCATCACACACAAGTCAAGCTCAAGAAACGCGGTTCTGATACCAAATACCTGGCCACTGTCCTTGCCATCGGTACGGAATGTGATATCGGTATGAACTATGAACTATATTTTTTTTATCGGGTTAGAAACACTACCAGTTTTGTTTCGCTAAAGCCCTTGAACTTATTTTCGGATAAATTGCCGAGCTTTTTGTTTTGTTTTGTATTTTTGTTTTTTTTCCACTTCAGTTTACACATGGTCTAAATTAAAATAGTAGCTTACCAAAAATATGAGGAATGTGTTGGTGCACTTTTTTGTCATAGTTTTATTACTAGTAAATTTGAAATACAACTTTCCAGATTAGCATAAAAAAGAACTAATATATGAAACAATAATTAATTTTATTCCCCGAACCCCTGCTGACCCCTCCCCCTCTTAAACGAGGAAATGAATTTGGGAAAGAAAAAGTTCAGTCAACAAAATTATACAACTCTGTAAGATGAATACTAACAGTGTTTTGAACCCACTTTCACCTCTAATGATACGTTTATTTGCCTCTGTTGTTACTATGGATTTTTGGCAACGAAACAGCTATGTTGGCTGTGAGTGATGATGAGTTTTGGGAAGGAGTATCACCTGTAGAGTTTGGAGATTTGCCTGCATTGCAAGATGCTGTAACTGTTGTGGGCTATCCTATTGGCGGTGACACAATTTCTGTGACAAGTGGCGTGGTTTCTCGCATGGAGATACTGTCTTATGTTCATGGCTCGACAGAGCTACTTGGTTTGCAGGTTGAATTCATCGATCTATTCATGTTGACTCCGTGGAGTATTATCTTATCGACATATCATATTAATTTAAGTAGTAATTTTCTTTTTGTTTAATCAGATAGACGCTGCAATCAATTCAGGAAATTCTGGTGGACCTGCCTTTAGTGATAAAGGCAAATGCGTGGGTATTGCTTTTCAATCGCTCAAACATGAAGATGTGGAAAATATTGGTTATGTCATTCCGACTCCAGTGATTATGCATTTCATTCAGGACTATGAGAAAAATGGGGCATATACAGGTAGGATAACTTAAATGGGGCAACATAAATTGGTAATACTGAATTGTGTCTATTAAGTTTCATAAATCCACAAATCATGAGATTGATTTTATGTCTCTGAAATTCCAGGCTTTCCAATCCTTGGGGTTGAGTGGCAAAAGATGGAGAATCCTGATTTGCGCTCATCCACAGGTATGTCCCCCGACCAAAAGGGTGTCCGCATTCGAAGAACTGAGCCTACAGCTCCAGAGTCTCATGTTCTAAAGCCATCTGATGTTATCCTCAGCTTTGACAGTGTTGATATTGCTAATGATGGAACAGGTACCATCAATTTAATGAAATAATGAATTGATGTCTTTTTCATTACCATTAGCACTCTGCCACTGGCCACCTGACCGAACTATTGAACTTGGCCTCAGTTTTGCTATTTGACCGTGTTTTCTAATTGTGATCCATATTCATGAGATCTCATCTTACAATAATTGTAAAAAAAATGAGTTCATGGTTTGACTGATGCTGTTAATGGCGGCTGATTATTTGGCAGCCTAATAGAAATATTCTTTTGGTTCTCATATATTGTGCTGAACTAATCTTGAGGAGTTTGATTGAAGCATTGTTTCAAGTTTCAAGTACTACAATTTCTGATATAACTATTGAAACATTTCTTTGTTCTTCATTTGTAGAATACAGTAATATATGTTTTTATGTTATTGTATCGACATTCTTCAGCCTAAGATTTAACTCTAAATTGCTCGTGTCATAAATCTTTAAAAGTCATATAGGGTTGATATCATAACAGCTGGGGCTTGCAAAGTTTGTGTATATCGACTCTGTTCAAAAATCACAACAGTAGATTTCGTAACAAACTGATTTCAGGTATTCAGTTTTAAAGTTATGTAACGGAGGAAGTTTCTAAATCCAAAGAAAGTTAAAGATATTGTTGTGCAAAAGTGAGTATATTTGGATTTTTTGTGTTTGAATATTAGGTTTTAACAACATTTGCAATCAATTTCAGCACCTACAGTTTTTCATCTATTTTGTGCATGCTTTATCGTTGGGGAGTCATCTTTTAGCTTTTTACTGTAATTTCTGTCATTTTGTCTGGACTTTAGTCTAATTAGCTCTCGTTTAGCCGCATTTTTTTAGAATAGAATTTTTAAAATGTAATTTTTTTTTTTTTTGGAGAATGTGGTTGAAAAAGTATGAAAAAGTTGTGTTTATGTGCAAAATTATTTTATTGGGAGAATGTGAGGTTGAAATGAGTTTGGGAAAAATAAGTTTAAAAAAATGTAGCTCAAACCGGGGCTTAATTCCTTCTCATATAATTATCTTATCTTGGTGTCTAGTATAAAGGCCAAAGGGAGACCTACTTATTGTTTTCTACTGTACAGTAGGCATATTCTGAGAAGCTTCGACTAGTTGAAGCAATCTAATTTTGTTTAACTGATTCTGTTTTCAGTTCCATTTAGACACGGAGAGCGTATTGGTTTCAGTTATCTCATCTCTCAAAAGTACACTGGAGATTATGCTCTGGTCAGAGTCCTCCGTAATACCAAAGTACTCGAGTTCAACATAAAACTGGACACACACAAACGCCTTATCCCAGCACATATTAATGGCAGACCACCTTCGTATTACATTATTGGTGGATTTGTGTTCTCTGCTGTTTCTGTTCCATATTTACGTTCAGAGGTGCGTATTGAGATCGACACCGCTTGTTATTCTATCCTTGTTATTGGTTTCTCCTGCTTAGGTGCATCTTTTACTAAAATAAGTAAGCCGAGAAATAAATAATATTTTTGTTGGTCAATGTTGGATTTAGTTATTTATTACTACATTAATATTAATTAAACCACTTTTGTTACTTTACTTTCTAAAAAGAAGTAACATGTCCAACCATATTTTGAAACAAAAAAAAAAAAAATTAAAAAGTAACTTTTAAGCTTATTAGCGAAACATGCAATTAGATTCTGCGCATTCTAGATTGAAATGTTTTTTAGTATTTCTATTGCCATGTTTTTGTTCTCACTTTCTAGTGCCTATCTTATTCAAGTCCAGTATGGAAAAGATTATGAATTTGACGCTCCAGTCAAATTGTTGGACAAACTTTTGCATGCAATGGCACAATCAGTAGACGAGCAGCTAGTTGTTGTTTCTCAGGTTTTTCCCTCTCTTTTAGTAACTACCTCCATGTAGTATTCTGTGAAAACTTCCAAATTTGAACTAATCATTACTCAATTCGTTGAGATTGCATTAGGTGCTTGTTGCCGACATCAATATTGGATATGAAGATATAGTCAACACTCAGGTAGAATAATTTTGAACAAATGTAGTTGTCGATTTCAGAATTTGATATTAGTGATTTTCATTGGTATCGATAAATTTTTAACTGTTTATGTGCATATAGGTCCATGCCTTCAATGGAAAGCCTGTCAAGAATCTAAAGAGCTTGGCTAGCATGGTGGAAAGCTGTGGAGAAGAATTTTTGAAGTTTGATCTTGAATATGAGCAGGTTTGTCTTCCTCCCCTAACCCCTCTCCTCCAAGAGGGAGGAAAAAAAAAAAAAAGAAAGAAAAAGAAAAAAAGAAATCTGGGCTCAATTGACGACACTGATCATGGTAACACTTTTGGTTTGTTCTAACTTCTCTACTACGTGTAGATTGTGGTCCTACAGTCTCAGAAGGCAAAGGCTGCAACGAAAGATATTCTTGCGATGCATTGTATCCCTTCAGCCATGTCTGATGATCTTAAGACATGAAAGCCAACTGTTGAGGTTTGAAAGTCCTTAGCCCACGATAGTGTCTTCTAGTTTTTCTATCCACTTTTGCTCGCTCGTCTCTATCTTGAAAGTATGTACCTGTCTGAATCTTAAGATGGTAAAGCATCTCAGTGATAAAATAATGCCGATATTATTTTGTCACTGGAATTGAGATTAGTTCGTCAAAGCTCTACCAAGAGAACCACATTTTGTAGAATTTTCATCTTGCTGTAGAAATTGGAAATTGCATTCTGAAATTCGTCAGGAGGAGAATTGAAAGGTGAAGAAAGAGGATAGTAGCTTATGTTTCTTCTTAGATTCTACCTTCTAATATCTGGATATAACCATGCTATACAAATATGTTACAGAAGAGAGAATTACTCTCTGCATACGGATTCATAACTGTATTCCATACATATCTGTTTAAATAAGAGAGAATTACTCTCTGCATACTAAATCACATCTTCTCTGCCCCTTGGTTTTGTAACTTTTCAACAAGGGATGTTTTTGGGTAGCTAATGATTACAGATCCATCTCCTGTACCTTCGTAGATTAAGAGTATTGCCGAGGATGATGCCTTCCATGGCAGCGGCAATGGCAATGGACAATGGCTTGAACATGGCCACATATACAGGTCCCCTTAAGTGCAAGATCCACGTATGAATAACATTGATCAGGCCGGAGCCAAAAAACTCCTGCTCATACTTTCTTATCAAACTTCAGAATCCAGTTGGAAGAGAGGAACTAGCAACTATTTTCTTCCCCTACCGAACATAAGATAGAGGCTAACGCCAGATTAGGCCTTATTAACCATTTGCTCGAGTAGGGTTCTGCAATAAGACCTACAAATGCAGCTAGGATGCTGACAAATAAGTTGTAGATGAACATCAGCGTTAGTTCTGCTGGGTATTCTTTCATAATATGCGTCTGTTAATAAAACACAAGTTGAAGTTTTATTTATTTTTAACCTAGATCCAATCTAGTGCAACCATAATAGTAGAAATCGAACTAAACGGGCCAGTTAGTTCGCATGCCGATTTGACTAAGACCATATGGATAGAAACCATTAGTACAAGAACAGACTCATTGATTAACATAATTTTATTTTTTGTTTTTATAACGAAAGGCTCAAGCGAACCACTGTAAACCACGGAAGCGAGGATACTCTCTACAAACTAGTTCTTAATATATTGTTTATTTTTCAGTATTTGTTTATGTTGGGAGGAGTTCACAAGATTAGTTCACAAATCAATCAAATATATACGCCAACAGAAAATAAAAAAAAAAAAAGAAAAGAAAAACCGCACTGAATATGAACAACAAGTGTACAAGAGTAATGAACAAAATTGAGAAGTGAACCTATCTTTATTATTTGAACGAATGAACAAAAAACTCACAGGCTATACTTCACAATCCGGTTAGTGCTTCAATCTCAAGAATAACCACAGTTAAACTTTGAATCAGACCCAAAGAAAGATTGCAAATAGGGACGACACTCAGACAAGTTCAATATATTTCCCACAGAGATCTCTCGTTTGCTAACCACACGATTCACTCAAGAATCAACACCCAATACAAGTAAATCATCCAAAATTACAGGCTATTGAGAGAAAAACAAAAATCAAATGAGATTATTTGATTTCTACAGCAAAGAAGAAAAACTCGAAGCAACGCAGAGAGAGCACAAGAAAATTAGAAGAATCTCCAAGCAAAGAAGTGAGTCTCTCGAACCCTAGAAGCCCTTTTAAATGGGTCACACAACGGTCGTCAATCCAACGGCATTGGAGGTGGCACATGGTGACTTCATTGGCGTTCATTTCATCATGCAAGTGAGAAACACAGTTTCAAGCCTTAAAGCAAATCACGTTTTCTTGCACCAATTAAAACAATAGATTTTTAGTTAGCTCGGCCTCCATTGATTTCCAGCTGAGCCAACTCAGTAAGCTCAATGGGCATAGCATCACTGTGTCACAAATTTCCCTTCATACTCCACATTGGTACAATAATTCACGTTCATTAGTGGTTATTCATCAATAAAAGATATCATTAGCACATATTGCAGCATCCACAGATCAATAAGGAGCAACATTCAACAAGGTCAAGCAGTCCATGAACTTGTTTAAGGGTAGAATTTTGGTACCTACACCAGTAGGGTTGTAATTAATAAATATATTTTCAAGTTTCACAACACCTTGTGAAATAACATCCCTAATAAAATAAAATCTAACATCAACATGTTTAGATCTATTGTGTAAAACAGGATTTCTACTTAAATGAATTGCAGATTGGCTATCAGAATAAATAGAACGACTCAACTGTATGAGAGAAAATGGAAGACTCTCGAAGAAGCAGCTGGGGAACTCATACCCTAGAAGCCCTTTTAAATGGGTCACACAACGGTTGTCAATCCAACGGCATTGGAGGTGGCACGTGGTGACTTCATTGGCATTCATTTCATCATGCAAGTGAGAAACACGGTTTCAAGCCTTAAAGCAAATCACGTTTTCTTTCACCAATTAAAACAATAGATTTTTAGTTAGCTCGGCCTCCATTGATTTCCAGCTGAGCCAACTCAGTAAGCTCAATGGGCATAGCATCATTGTGTCACAAATTTCCATTCATACTCAACATTGGTACAATGATTCACGTTCATTAGTGGTTATTCATCAATCAACGATATCATCAACACATATTGCAGCATCCACAGATCAACAAGGAGCAACATTCAACAAGGTCAAGCAGTCCATGAACTTGTTTAAGGGTAGAATTTTGGTACCTACACCAGTAGGGTTGTAATTAATAAATATATTTTCAAGTTTTACAACACATTGCGAAATAATATCTCTAATAAAATGAAATCTAACATCAACATGCTAAGATCTATTATGCAAAACATGATTTCTACTTAAATAAATTGTAGATTGACTATCAAAATAAAGAACAACTTCTTTAACAAAATCAAATTCATTAAGCAACTCTTTTAACCAAATTCCTTCCTTAATAGCATCAGTGGTTGTAATGTATTCAGCCTCAGTTGAA